CGCAATGTCTGGCCGCATAAATCATTCTGAACCTAGCTGAAACGGGCAGGTGGAGACACATCCACATCTGCATGCTGCAAATGCACCAAACATACATGAGCAATCACGATTTGATTGTTGCCAAACTAGTTGTTGCAAAGGCAACCTGGACTCATATGCTTACTAGACACAGTGAGCCGATATTTTCCAGCTAGTTAGGCGACCAAAAAGCAGTGATTATGAGATTGAAGAGTTTGATGCAACGAGAAGGGGAGTGCGCCTGCTTGCTGCGGCCTAAGACTTGAAGGTGTAGGGTCCTGTCGGGTCTTATGCTGAATGCTTGCTTCTGAGCACATTATTAAAAAAACCCAAACAACAAAGATTTGCCCTCAGCCTGCGGATCACGATTTGCCTTTCAAAGGCAGTGTGGAAATTGAGTGCCACAATCTGTGGCCTCAACAGTCGGCCTCTTGGCCCAAGTACCCGTGGAGATTTCGCAAAGTGACAGTTCTCTCTTTTTCTGCACCCTGCGCCCTGCAAACAGCAAGCCACTGTTGCCCAACCTCAAAATCTTGTGCATCTATGAATATACATAGATTCGCAGATTTAGCACCTTCTGCACATTAAGACATGATGAAGATAAAAAGGGTGGGGCGGCGGATGAGGTGCTCCTCACATAGCATTTCAGCAGGATACTTTGTTCTTCATTCAGCCCTTCTGCACTGCAGATACGATACGGTCTCTTTCCCGGAAGTCGATCCTCGAGCCCAAATAAAAATGTAGACCCCTGCCCAAAAACCCTGTGCCCTGAAGAATTCAAAGCCAGCTAGCCTCAAGACTGGCAAAATTGCAAAACCAATGCATGGGCAAGTCATCTGGAGACATCGGTGTACTTGCAGCCGCCAATTTGATCTTTCGCGCAGGACCCCGCAACCCTTAGGAGCTGAGCAGACTGCGGGGTTCGTATGGAGAGTTGGGCATGCAGTTGGTGCAGTGAAGCATCCGCTTAGGTTTGAACAAGACGTGGGTCTAAGTGAACGCTGTCCCTGCAAGTCTCAGCTGTATGTCTAAGACTGTGACTAAACCACGGCTCACGCATGCCACTGGCTGCGGGTCCTCTGGATACGTCTTCGTATCTGACTCTGAATTAGCATAACAAGAAATGGACATGGAATGTCCTGGATTTGCCGTCTGTGAACGGAGGCCGGGGAATGTCAGACATTGGAGCTGTCCCATATACCACTCCCCGATGTATATACAAGGTAAACATATATAATGGAGCTGGGTGCGAATCTCGGGTGAAGACAGTTGGGGGCAAAGGATTCATAATCATGACAATCCCTCATCAGCCAGCTCTCCTCTTGATCAGATGACTTTCTGAAAGATTCTGGCCAACCTGCATTGCATGTCGGGGGGCTTCATGAGTGAGGGAAACTCATGCTTGTCATGTGCAGCTCACGATCAAACCTGACGCCTTGCCATCCGAAAATGAGATCAGTGAAAGTAGCTCCGCTTCTGGCGATGCTATTGTTGCCAGCACCATTTTGCGTTGTCAGAGGAAATAAATCGAGCATCGCACGGCATCAAGGTCACCAACTGCTCCACAAGGTTTGCCCACAACATCGCACCTTGATTTTGATGCGCAGCCTAGACTACTCCGTGACGTAGACAGTCTACCAGCACGACAACAACCACTGCGCGACCCCTAAACGAGCAATGAATGCCAGGGCGAGGCTTTGCTACATACATCCATGCACCTTCCTGGAAGACACCTGTGACCAGCAGCTAGGTCAACAGAAATAGGAACCTGCATGGCTTCGATATTCTTGGAACTGTTGCCCTACAATCGGGTTGGGTCTGACATTCCGCGCACTTCGTACATCTGATGCTTCCTGCGTGACCATTCAGCCACTTCAGCAGGAGCTGTGAGACGAGAGAGATGTGCTTTCAGGATTACAAGACATGTTCAGACCTTAGCCTTGGAGGTGCACTTCGGAAGGTTATTGTCTTGTAACCTCTTGCTGCGGAGCCAGGGCCCAGAAAAGTGCTGGCATGCTTTTTCCAGAGATTTGTCATAGCAGTGCCCTACCTTAAGCTAAAAGACCATGTAGGCTAAGTGGGATTTTCTGGCAGCTGGCTTGGGCTTCAGAAGTGAGCCGGGCATTAGCTTGCGGACTGCCGGAGCTCGGAAGCTATAGGCGTAGAGGATTTGCCAATTTTGCCTTAAAGGTCAGGATTAGGGTCTTGATGGTTGGCATTTGGGAGAGGATGTTGGACGTTTATCTTTAGTCCATCTGAAGCCAGCTTGAAGAATGCTGAGGGAACATCTGAAACTTGCCTGGGGAGTTGAGTAGTAGAATGCCAAGTCGGCAAGAGTGGGCTCAATGGCCCTTGTCCGAGCGCCGGCAGCATCAATGCAACTTTGGCAGTGTGTGAAACATTCAGGGGCCTATGCACTACTGTAAGCCTGGAACAGAAACCTTAGATTAGACCCTTATGTAAAAAATGGACTGAATTTGCTCGGCTGTGCCTCACGAACTCTCCGGGATAAACCAGGAGATGGCAGCGATCAGGAAATAGGTCCTGGACAGCAGACTAGTTCGGACTCATGGCCTGGCAGTGGGAAGGTGGCTTCAACAATTCAACCTCTTCAATGCCGGGAATTTCAGGAATACGCTTCAGGTGTTACATGGCTTGGGGCTTGGAGGCGCCACTCTCAGCTCTCATCCGGCAAAGGCCTGTATCCCTCTTTCTGTGGCTCTCAAAAATTTCTTTTAGGGCAATTGAGGGCAAAAAAGCATGTAAGAACCAGGGGTGGCGAAGGACATCATGGAGCGCCAGTTCTGAGATGTAGTCAGGCTGCAGTATTTCACGATTCCAAGGAACTGCAAAAACCAGATTCCTGGATTAACTACAAGGATATGTTTTTGCAAGCCAGGCCTGAAATCAAGCACTGGGGCTTTACAGTTGCAAATACCGGAGGCTGCTCCCCAACATGACGCTTCGAGGTTTTGCTCCTGACTCATACCACAGGGGTCGAAACATCCGAGAGCCCGAGCCGCAAGTCTGTGTTACCCGGCCTTTCATTGCGCACGCTACTAGGCGAGCCAATGGAATCTCAATGACTGTTCCTTGCCATTTCGGGTGATGGAGCGTTGAATACAATACTTGAAGCAAGAACCTCGAAGCAAACAGCATGCAGGACTTATTGCCATTACGAATTTCCGTGCCAAACGGTCACCTGCCAAAAGCTGCCTGTACCAGTCCGTAAGCTTGCCAATACCAAAATCTTTCTGCAGCCCGCACCTCACCATGAAAACCGTGTGCTCATTACTAAGCCTGGGCTGGGTACTGCGCTGACCCCTTCGACTTTAGACCCCTGTAGAGCTGGGGTAGCTGCGTCATGAGCATCACACCATGCCTCAGATGACTAGACGTGAAGCTGCGGTTGGGGTTGTAAGGCACCGAGGCCTGGAGGTTGCATCTACGAATTATTATGCTTAGGATTGCGGGCAATGCTGGGTTCTGTGGCCGTTTGTACATGTATGAGGATCCGAGACACACTGCGCCACTGCGCTCGCACAGTTTTGAACACATGTAATTGGAGGATCCGATTGAGGGCTGCAGGATGCAGCATCTTATTAACGGGGGATACTGAAACTTCGAATTGCTAGGTAGCTGGATTGCACCCAGAGTGTGGGGATCTTGGCTGATTTAGCTCCTGCAAAGAGTACGACCTGAGGCAAGCGAACCAGTGCTCAGATTTCTCAGCTCAATGTGGGCGTTGCATAACAAGCAGACTCAAGGATGAATGAGGAGGATGGTCATTATCATGGAGCAAACTACACATTTGCTTCAGCTTAAGGAGCCTTCCCAGCGAGCCTGGTTTTCTAGATCCTCTAGGTTGTGGTGCATACGGATTTTACAATGAAGGTTACGTAGGGGTTGTGAGGGACCATCGTAAGCAGGATTCCCAAATTAATCTCCTGAAGTGCAGCATTAAACCAAGTCAAGCTCAGGTACAACCAGTTCGTATTGCCATGCTGGAGGACCTTCCACGGATGCAGGATCCAAAGTGTTGATTCTAGGTTGCGGGGGTTGATCTTTGTGCAAAGCGCAAGGTTCAGTCTTGAGAAGAAGGTGCACTGTGGGTGTCACAGCCATCTAGCTCCCTGAGAGCTCCCTCACGCACAGGTTTTCCAGCTCCCTGAAGTTTGTTTTGAAGAGCCTAGAGAGTGCGTGGAGCTCCTCACCAAACTCGTAACCAAAAATCAAGCTTCTGATGCAACGGACAAAAACATAAATGGCTCCAAAGCTTTTGGAATGTCCTCGGCGACACGGTGACGTGCCAAAACATAAGTGAATGTAAGCTTGGCGAGCTCTTGAGGTCGACCGTCAATGCTACATCTACAAATGCTGCGGCTTGATCACATAAGTTTGGAGGTTTCGTATTAGGATCCAGCTTGAGCTGATGTTGGCATGCCCAAGTGCCGGTAAGCAGTCTGGGCCAGCGCGTGACACTGTTCAATGCTCGTCCTGTCTGATTAAGGATGGACAAGCAACGCTGAATGAGATATCAATAAATCCCGTCGACGCGGGAATTCTGTGGAACGACAAGCTTTCTGCTTTGCTGCCGCACCTGCGAGACTAAGAACACGGTCACCATCTGACCTAAGCGAATGCTTGTCAAGGCTTGTGACAAGGGGGCTGCAAAGTTTGACGCATGTATATAAGGACAATCAGTTTGTGGCCCAACGTTGCACTCTGTTTCTAGCAAGCTTGGAAAACGCCAGCTGCTCTGCTAGATGATGCGATTCCGAACATGGAGCCTCACGTCCAAATGCAACTCCGGATTTCATGTCCTGCATCCAAGTAAGGCGACAGCAGACCAGATTAGATCAACTGCAAAGGCTAACATGCACGCCAGGCATGTCGTGCACGCACAGAGGATAGAACACTGCCTGCCCTGTACTGTACCTCAAGGACCTGACCCTTCGCTGTAGAGGCAAGACAACGTGAAATTAGCTGTCCAAACTCCAGAAGCCTGCAAAGGCAGTACACCTACCGATCGAGCGCAGTGTACCTGCATCGATGCACGCAAGTACCGTAAACAGCTTGGGGCTCTGGCAAGCGGTGTCAAAGTTTCGGAAGCTAAGCGTCATGGGGCTGTCGAAAATCCAGCCCCAGAGCACCTAGACGAAAGCAAGGCATTTCTTCTGTCAGCTCTCCCCTTTTAGAGATGTCCCTGATTCAGGCTTCAAAGAACGTTGTTGCTGCTCAAGAAAACCCAAGCCTAATGGTCACTGAATGAGTGAGGCGGGAATAACTTAGCGTAGGGTGCTTACAGTGATTGTGGGGGTGGGGGTAGCAGCTGGGTAGCAGATATCATCTTTGGTAGGATGCAACACGAAAGGTGGAATGGCCTTTGACTCATCTTCTGGGAAAGGGTGAAGCATCAAACCTAGGGCATACCTGGTCTGCTCCATCACCCCTGAGAGTGCGTGCTTACGGGTCTGGAGGTTCAATACTTTGACTTGGGGATCAAAATCCTGATGAAGCCAACGTCACTTAAAGACATATGGACGAGAGGCTGCGCTACGGAAGGTTATCCTGAACTGTCATACAAGCCTGCCTACCCTCAGAACATCTCATAACCCTTTCTTGGTAAAGTGACCCTATGTGTACACTCAGAAAAAGGAGATCACATCAGGTATCGCTTCTGCCAGCATTTGCAAAAAATAGCGACCCAAGGCAGACTCAGCTCGTGACTGCACAAGGAACGACAAACAGTGCGATCTGAGTTGACGAGCCGACCTTTGAAGTCAAGGCTCTCCCATTCAAAGCATTTGGGCTGCCGTTGAAATCTCTTGGCCCGTTTCACTCTGATGGTTCAGGCAGGAGTTGTGCAAAGAGTTCTGGTTGACACTTTATTGCACCTACCGGTGCCTTCGAATTGACTTCAGTGGCACCGATGACGTGCCCTGAGGGATGAAGAAGCGGTGCACTGTCCTGCATTTCAATGGTTGTTCGAGATGAAATTATGCAAGGAAGTGTAGACTGTTCCCAGTTGCCGGTTTGAAATGCCATCTGCTCATGGCACGTACTGGTAGTTTGCCAACTGATAGCTCCCTGAGTCTCAGATCCTACGCCTTCAGCAGCCCTCGTCTCCACCTGTGGGCCCTGAAGCTGTGGTGCCCAGTGTTGCCTCAAGCCTCCTTTGAGAAATTATATTGCTTGCTGAAATTACCTGCAGGATTCTGGAGAGATTTGCAAAACGGGCTGTTGCTTGATGGATTTCCAGGACAAGTCTCCAATCCAAACGGAACACTTGCCTGGATGCCTTCTGTATAGTCTTCCCTCGAACCCCAACTAGCCATGGGCCTGCTAAGCTCAAGTCCCACACGATGAAGGACATGACATGCGAAAGTATTGAGAGACGATTCTGATGCATGGGCCACTGAGCAGAAGTAGTCCCAACAACTCGAACTTTGAAAAAGTGGGCAAGGTCTGCTCCAAACATCTCAGGCACCCGAAGCTGCAGCACCACGAGAAAACTGACGCTGGGCAAGCGGCAGCTACGCCCAAGGACAGGTCCATCATGCCCTGCTGCTCACGATGGGTGTTTGACACGTTAGTCTCTGACCGACTGGCCGTCGCGCCAAGCATGCTTGTGGGCAGAGCTGGGGAAAACGTTCAGTACATCTTGGGAGGAGAATCTGTGACAAGAATCTGACATTTCTGACCTTCAACTGGGAGAACAGCCCTCACCCAACCATTCTACACAGAAGGTTTCGCGAGGCAGGCATTCTCAAAACTCATCTCAAGCTGACCAACGCAAACCAGCACTGAAGTACAACTCCGAAAGCCTTATCAAGCAGCATCCGACCCTACAGTTGCTTCTGTCTTGCTCGCTCATTATCCGGAGTGGGCAAGCCTTTGTGGCGCTGGTGACAGCTGTGGCGTGCTCAGCTGCATTCCCTGCACCAGCCATGGGTGAACAAAGGATTGGGGCTTGACGTGGTCCGTTGTCTGACTAGAGTCGCGGGCAGGGCTTAGGGATAAGCGTCACAGGATCGGGACTCTCAATGACTTGCACGTAGGAGAGGGCGGTTGGTTCTCAGTGGGTGCACAAGGCTTCCATTTACGTGCATATCAGCAACCAGAGGATGAGCCGCAAAGTGGAAGTTTGCTCTTCTTCCGAGGATGGTTCTAGTGGAGACCGCAGCACCTGTAACATGCCTGACACAGTGAAACCGAGAAAAAGCTGGCAGCATCAAAACCGCCGCCATCGTGCGTGAAATCCAAAAAATGGCAGCACAAGCAACTGTAAATGCAAGACTGTGCGTCTATCCAATGACAGCTAAGAACCCTAACCAAGAAGTGGCAAACTTGGGCTTCGGCCTACAATCGGTAGCAAGATCACACCTTGTCACAAGTCAAAGGGGGTTGAGGGTTTGGACAGCCTTATGGGTCGCAAGGGTGAGAATTTTTCTCAAATTGCGTAGCAGCAGGTCACTTGGAATCGGGCCACGGTTTCGGATTTGAACTTGGTTTGACACTTAGATTCCAAGCTGCGAGGTCAAGCATGCACACGAGCAGTATGACAGGGACCTCCGGGCCTGGACACCTTTTGCCTTGCTGGCGTAAACTTACATGTCACAATGCAAGCTCCGCAAGACGCAAGCACAAGCTTGATGATCTCTATGAGCGAATGTGCACCTTTCAAGATCTCCAAGCTGGGTCCTGAATCCGACCCTCTAACCCTGAACCTTAAGAAAGTCTAGATTCGTCAAACCCAAGACCCTCCTTCCCTCCCTCACCGCACAGCTGCCCCTAGCTGAAGCCAGGTATATCATCTCGTCTGCTCCCTCCTGCTGGGAGGCCAAGTTCTGGCCAATGCCAGCTACACTCAACATCGTCTACATAGCTGAGGGACATGGGAATTTATTGGTCGATATGTTGGGGCCCATATAAATGACCATGCAGATCCCTACATCCACCCGGAATATTCCATGGTATGTTTTGACAGGAGCATGAATCACGGTACAGATTTGGCCAAGTGACCAATGAAGGCTTTCGGTAGGCCGAAATTTTCCTGCAGAGAGGGGCGGCTGGTGTTTTTTCTTCGAAGGGCCACCCCCCAGTCATCCAAACCCCGGGATCGTGCAAGAATTTCTCTATCTGCATGCTGAAACGGCTGTGCCTTATGAACGGGCTGTTGGATTGGGCGGTATAACCTACTCCAACTAGTACGAGGTATCAGTACGCACACGGTGCTCTTGATTTCCAGGGGGACTGTCTGCCACCAACAACTACATCATATCTAACACACATGCAGCATGACGAGTTGCAGACAAGCCAGTTAGATGACTGCAGGCGGCCAAAGCAGCCGAGATTCCGAAACATCTTCGATGGAATCGACAAGGCCTTGAGATGCGTTTGGGCAGATGTGGCACAAGCACCTCCAGTTTACATATGTTTTGAAGTTGGCCATCCTGAAGGGAATGCTGTGTGACACTGTCTCAGTATGCTGGATGGCAGGCCTGTGAACGGTTGTCATCCTGTAGAGCGCCGGAAACAAGTAAGAAAGTGCCTTTCCAATCTTGCAGGCGGCCTGCAAGGATTTGGGATGCGGTGGCTTTACGTTAAATCGAAGCTCAATTCTGAAAACCTGGCAGGTTGAAGGTAACAAACGGTTCCGCTTTAAGTTTAGCAGCTATGTGCCCGTATGCGCAGCAAAGAAGATCTAGTTGTGAAGTCCTGCGGCTTGACTTCCATGCGCCCAACACTACGTATATGTCAGAGTGAACAACCCATTCACCTGAGACGCTGGAGGTGAGCCCTGTTCCACCCTGGAGGATCCTGAAGTTTTCTGCCAGCTAGGTAGCTACCGTGTCCCTGATACTCCATGAGCTGGGCAAATGGCCCTCCGAACAGGCAGCCACGACCAAAGTGCTTGCCTCGGTAGACAAGCACCTACCCATTGCTGAGAAGGAACCCTGTGATTAGCCTGCCAGTTCTTGGTGTGTCTTGGTACGTTATCAATGCGAGCACGGTGGTCTCAAATGCAAGGAATCTGGTTCAAAGAGTTAAGGTTGTCAAGTGCAGAGGCCATTTACAAAGGACTTGCGGGCGTTGTGGGAAATAGGGAAATGCAAGGTGAACGTCCAGGTCCAGGAGTCTGCGGCACTAGGGCCTGGGTTTAGTGCAACAGTTCAAGGTGTGTGCGCTCAAGGCTGGGACTTCTAGGCTGGCGCTGAAGATGAATGGAATCTTCAGCTTGAGGATTTGTTTAGACGGCAACGTCTGAGCGAGTCTATGCTGATTTCATGAAAGGTGCACTCATCAACTTAACGCTCCGGGAGCAGGCGTTGGCATCTCTAGTTCGCAGGATTTTCAGCTGTCGAGCACCGGAAAGACATCATAATTAGATGATTTGGTGCGAGCAGGATAGGCCCGAGCGCCAAGAAAGACGGAAGACTTTGGAAGTTGAGGCTTTCAGCTTTCGGACCTGCATAAGAAGTCACCTCTGTCAAACTTGGTGTAGTTGCACGCTGTAGCAGGTATATTTTCCAAACTTGATGCCCGCGACCTCGCAGCCTCGACGACCACCAGCACTGCATCCTGCTAATCCTCTCCAATCCTTGAACTGCGAAAGGGGCCGAGCGCGGCATCGTAGTGTTGTACATCCCCAGATCCCATACACGCAAATTAATAATGATCTTCGAGTGCTGAGGAGTGGGCAGCTAGCAGCACGGTCGCTCCGGGCAAAGACATCTCAGCCTGCAGGACAGCCATCTAGCTGCAGAAGTAACGGAAAAACCTCAATTGAATCTTCGAGCCCTGGGGAAATGTAAGCAGTTATACTGCAACATATTGCAACGGGTTCTAGAGCAGTCGGGGTGAGGCTTGAAAGGCTTGAGAGCTTGGCGCGATAGGCCTGATGGGTTCAGCGCTGTCTTGGGGACTACAGACATCTGCAGCTTCTTGGCCAATTGTGTGGGGACCTCTAAACTGCTACCAACACCTTGGCCCAGACAACAATCTGTGACCGGTTTAGCCTGCAAAAGGACACAGATTCTCATGTACATATGATTGGCGTATGGAAATTTCAGAAGTACCCTCATGATCGTGCCGGATCTCCCATCCAAGCAACCACTGCATGTGTCTCAGAATTGGAATTGATTTATACATTGAGTCTCTAGCGCTTGTATGTCGGGAGGGTAGATAGGGAGTTGACCAAACAACCCAAGTCATCTAGAATAATGCAAAATCTTCAACTCTACTCATGGCAGCGCCCAACGAGCACGAGCAGCCTCCTCCTCGTGGTGTTCCTCACCCTCACCAGCTTCGTCCTGTCAAGCATGCGTGCACACGAGCATGTGAATTTCGGATCGGATGTTCTGTAAATGAAAGCTTGGAAGTTGGGCTTTGGATCGATTAGGGTTTAGGACCTGCGTTTGAGTAATGCTCTATCACAATTTGGGTCCACCTTCTGCCAAATTTAAAGGTGATTCTCCGGGATAGTCATGCAACAGTCAGCCACATTCCAGCTTTGGGGTGGGCGCGAAAGATTCAGCTACAAGCAGCGGCTTCCACACCACGAAGCTGGGCGCCACTCAAAACAAGCACCACAGACACATCTGGATCTCGTCTTGCAGGCTCTTGCTTCCCTGACATGGGCCAACCCGGACACATGCAAGCTCTTCAGATTCTGGGCTCTGCGGTCCGAGAAGAACTCTGAGTGCGTGTAGAGCTGGAACACGAGGAACATGAAGTACACAACGCCTTGGATGCTCAAGTTTGCCAACGCCATGCAATTCGGACTGGCAGTTCATGGTATTCATTGGGTCTGGCCCCTTTCAGCAGCAGAAATGGAGACAACTGTGCGCGATATGTAGGACGACATTCGACATGAGTGTGTCAGGTAACCTGGATTGTGAAGTGCCATCAGAAGCGCGGCAGATAGGTGCAGTCCCAACGCATGTGACACTTTGTGGCTTACTGTAAACGTGCATAAATTCATAATGATGAGCTTTGCCTGTTTGCAAGAGTCTGTTTTGGCAATCAAGAAGGCATAGTTTTGAGTGTCCGTGAACACAAACTCAGATGTCATAGCAAGTGCTGCCCCAAAATCCGCACGTTAATTACCTGCCCACGGGTCTGGATGGGTCACTCGGGAGCAAGTGCTATATTTCATCTCAGGGCGTGGAGAAGCCTCCCCAAAGCGAGACAACGCAAGGTCCCCAACTACAGGTAAACATCTCAGCCCTTGCTTTGGCTTCTTGGAATGCCGGTGCGACAGTTCTGCCTTCTGAGCCGCGCACATAGGAAAAGAGAGCAAATCCGGGACAGCAGCAGGATCTGAACAAGGACGTTGTGTGTAACAATGCCAGTTGTGAAGCAGCTGAAGCCCCGCCAGTAAAAACCAATAATCATGTTGCTGATGACATGAAACGAGCAAGAAAAGAAAACTGGCGATAATGATGAAATATGCTCAGAAAGGGCTGCTTTGGGTGGGGCTGTGCTTATTTGAAACCTGCTACAGTACCTCTGTGGGCTCAGGTGTCGACAGGGTATGGGCCAACTCCTGAAACAGTAGAGTAGCCCTGCATGACTACATGCTTCTTCTACTGTTGAATGCACCCTGTCTGCAACAACATCCTTGAATTCAGCACCACGAAGGCCCACCAAAAGTTGCAAAAGGGTAGTAGGTAGTGCTGTCCAGGCTGCCAAGAACGCTAGTAGCTTGTCAAGCAGCACTTGCTTTGAGGACTTTGCAAAGGGAAGCCACATCGGCCAGGTACCTCTTCGTCTGTGCTTCCCTGGATGGTCCGAAACCTGAGGCCATCTCATGTTGGGTCACGATCTAGCTTTCATGGCTTGTGTGTGAAAGCTGTTCCATGAGCTCAAGGTGTTGGCTTCTCAACATAAGGAAAGATGAACACACTCATCTTGGCCATCCTCCTGACCATCTTCCACTGAGATCGCGGCATTGTCGGCAAGCAAATGCTAATTGATGCTACTACCTGATCAGGTGCCGGGAGTAGCTTCTGGTTGGGCGAGGTGATCGGTCTTCAGAGCACGTGGCTACCTTGAGATGTTTTCTGAAAGACCGGGGAGCCATGTCTCAGGTAGCCCCGCAAGCGTCAGTCTAGACCGGAATGTGCGTTTGCAAAGACTCCCCAAGCCAATCTCCGACCCCAAACAAGAAAGGACATACATCACTGAATCCACACCTCCAGTCTCTTCAGGCCTTCCGTCTTCAAGCACTCCATGAACCCACTTGTTATGCACTACATCAAGGTTTATAAGCACAAGCCCAAGCTGAAACAACTCCCAACTCGCAGGGTTTGATGAGGCCGGTTTCAGCCTAGGAACAGCGAGACCCTGCACTTCAGTTCCCGTGCCCAAAGCCAACGCCTACAACCTTACCGTAAGACTCCTAGTCCCTGCACTTAGCAAACAGGATCCAGACCATCTGCCTGGCATGTCATGTTCGCCGCAGCACCCTGGGAGTTGAACCTGACACATGGGATACTTACGGCTGCCGAACGGCCAGAAGTTAATGTCTGCACCAATGTCTGCACACTTCTGTATGTCGGAGGACAGACCCTGCTGGCAGAGCAACCTTGACAAGACTCTCATCCAGCCACGAGCCGTGAACATCTGAAGGTACACATACACTCCAATCCAGGGGACATGGTTGACTGACAGCGACACAGGCACTGACCCGAAAAGCTGGCATTCCAGCCGTGGAGTAAAAAGTCAACAATGGACCTGGATTCCGAGTGGTAATATCCTGCGCCGAGGATGGCCTCAGAGGAACGCTTCAAGCTTCATGGTATGGGCTTCCGAGCATTCAATCCCAGTTTTGGGACGCCACGTCTGGGGTTTAGGTTTGGGCTCCAAGCATTGACATGGCTGGCTGTGGCTTGTGGAATTGAAGGGCTTTGCATCTAAAAGCGTTAAAGGAGCTTTACATATTTACCGCTGACAAACACCTGAGTGTCAATGAAATTGTCGTCCACATTGGGAGACTCGAGCGCATGGGCTTCAAAGTCACGGGTGTAAAGGTACGATACTCTGGAGATCCTGTACAATGCGACGCGGGGTTCAAGCTTTCGCACGACGCCAGGTGGACAAAGGACAAGCAGAAAAGTGCTTTTGATCACCAAAGGCCCCCGAGACAAGCACGTGGCTTGCACAGAATTCCCAAAGCCTGAACCGCACCCTGAACTCCCCAATACCGCTATCCCTAACCCCGGCCCACACCCTGCGGAATCCAGGAGCTCTAAGCACCAATGCAAGATGGATCCTCAGAACTGCCACCAGGATACCATTCCCAGCACCAGCAGCAGATTCGAAAGGATGGAGCCCAGGAGATTGCCCTGGGAAAGCATCCACTAGCCGGCCAGGCTGTGCAATGTGTTTTAATCTTTGAACCCCTATTTGTTCATCTTGGAGTCAAGACAACCCAGTCCAACACACGGACCATCCGGCCTGCACAACCCGAATGAGGCCTGCCCGAACAGCCTGGCGCAAATGGATTTGGGGGTCTGGGCTACCGAGTGTAGGCTAAGTCGTTCCGGAATTTTGCTTTCAATGCGATGCAACTTATTGAAAAGTATGCGGCTTCTGGCCAAAAAGCGGCAGCTTCATGGTTCCAGCGCTTGCGTCTAGACGCTGAGGTTCCGAGCTTCACGAATGTGCAGTCCTTAATTTGCTTGGGACTTCACGCCTTGGTTTAGGCTATTAAGAACCCGCGAGCCCAGTGCACTGCCCCAGCATGCGGGTCTGCATGGCCAGCCGACAACCTCCAGGCCTAAAAGCAACAAACACCTCAGCTTACCAGTGTGTTTTTCTTGTGCTGCAACCTTGAACTCTTGGCCCTAACCATGCTCTCATTGCTGGAGACTTATCAACCCGCAAGTCCGGCTTTCCGGCCTGAACACACATGATCATCTCTACTGCGTTGCCGAAGGTGGCATTGAGAAGGCCACCAATCTGAGAGATTTAGCAAGTTTTGGACAGGGCTCATATGCGTGCCGATTTGGGATAAGGGATTCGGGATTCAGGTTCGAGGATTCCGGGTCCCGGAGTCCGCCTCTTATGCTGCTGAGATGGATTGGCAAAATTGGCAAACAATGGCAGGCTTGCTTGTGTCTGGACAAGCAAACCCAAGCTGAGAAAAACCTCACCCAGAAAGCGCCTATCACTGACTGCATCATGATGGCAGCAAAACTTGTGCAAAGGAGCATCCCATCAACTCCATTCCTCTCATCCCATATCATGCTCTAGGATTAATTAAGCCTTTGCTATACTTCAAAGCATTGCGCCAGCTCTGTCAGAGGTCCTCTCATGCAAAAACTCTGGATGTTGGGAATACATGCGGCTTGCAGATGCGATATAGGAAAGATCTGGTAACGATTGGCCCAAGAAACAAGGTGCTACATCCTTGAGGTTAAACCTTGATCCCACGCCCCAAGGTCTCAGACACCAGCCATCTGCCCGGTGTGCGCGGACATCGCCTGACGTCTGTCAAAGTCCCAGGTATCCCGACATTGTCATAGTTGCCCTCTTGCATGCCACTACAAGCCATCACCATGGCCTACCTCTGCTACTGTCACCTAGGTCACCAGTGCTCATCGTGACTGTGATTGCCCTGATTACTGCAGCTGCTACCACTACGCTGGCCTCTGTAGCAGCACCCAAAATAGAGGCCAAGGGAACGATGGCCATAAAGTTGCAGCCAAAGACAACCTGGGCAATCTTCGTTTTGAGTGAGGGCTGTGGCCTCACTTGAAGCAGCTCGATTCTTCAGGAGAGCTCTTAGCTGATAATTTGTTTTTTGGCTGGGGTGCTCGAAGTTCAGGATGTGAGGTCTCGGGTTTGAGTACAAGACCATGGCACAAACTGGTATTCAGACCGTTGGCAGTTGAGGTGCTGCCATGGTAGGCGAGGCATTCGTGGCCAGCGAGATCAAGAGTGAGTTTTCCGAATTTTGGGCGGCTTAGGTTTACCATGGCTGCCAAATCGGTACTTCCGTAGGTCTCAGTGCTCAAGTGATTTGCCTTTTGGTTGCGGAAGGCTGCAGATGTCTTTGCCTTTGTGCTCCCAGAAGAAAGACAGCTACGAAGCTCCTAAATCTACATCCAAACCCTTCAAGATAGGCTGAAAGCAAACCTGTACGAAAGTAAGAGATATCATGCAGAAGGTTCCAAGCCCCAGGCGCTACCTTCAACTGCAGCCATGGGACAGCTGAGTTCCAACCCATCTCAGGCGCAATGAGGCCCAGGGGCACGAATACCAACAGCACATTCAACCTGGACAGGCCCAGTTAGTTGCGAAATTGATGGAAATTGGACTTCTCAGAGCTTTTTGTTTGCCTAAATAGTGCCCTTCAGGCGTTCGGGGTTGTTCCAAAATCAAGAGCCAAAGAGAACCTTCAAGCTCGGCCTGACCAGTCCCTACATTCGTGGGTGCTGAAAGCACTGATGCGCATGCTTACAATTTAAAAGGACCTGTAGACGGGCTGCAGCAGCTGCAACATCCAGGGTCTTAGAGCTTGATCGCATAAGGGGTTGGATAGTGGCTTTCATCCGAGCACTGCTGAAAGACACCCTCCAGGAATCCTGGTCTTTTTAACAATATTCTTAAAGGCCAGTGCATCTTGGTCGGGAAATTCTTTGCTGGAGTTTGGAGCTTCAAGGTTCGGTGATGTTCTGGGACTCCGGGATCCAGTTTTGAGGGCCCACTAATTACTATACAAAT